GCGTCATTGCGGCGACTACGTATACATAAATGTAAGACTATACATATTAAAGCAATATTAAAGCAATAAATGTTTTACATTTTGACAATTTGCTATAGCCTGTATAGCCTGTACTGACAAATTCAACGTCTTTTGCATAGCAATCACGTGTGCCTTAAAGTTTACACTTTTGTTCGTACATGTAGAGACTGTGCACTGTATCAAACAAATGATCTTCCTGTATGTTTATATGTTTATATAAAATACTTCTGTAGTAATTAGTAGCCTACCGTTTTTATATCAATTGTACAATTTTATCAGTATCAATAAAAGATGGATAAATAAAATAAAACATTCGAAACATTTACATTATCTTTAATAAAGCAATTTCTATTCATAGCCCTTTCTATCGGGTATTATTAAAATATAAAACAGCTTTAAGTGCAATGCTTTATAAATGACTATGATGATCTGCCCCAAGTTAAAAAAAGGTATCAGCCATGACATTTTCGTTTCGAAGATCGCAATTTCTCGACAGTTTTTGTTTCCTTGCTGAAATACGCTTTGTTGAGTAGCGAAGTTTTTTGCACTGATAAAATGAGTGCGCAGTACCTGAGAAGGAAATAGCCAAATTAGTTTTCAAAGTGCGCATTGCTTTGATGTGTTTGTTTACAGCTCAGGCAACGTGGAGCATTTCCTATCCAAACTATGAGAAAATCAATCGGAGTTTAATAGTGAAAAAAGGTAACTCCAGATGGTACAATTATGATATTGCTTGCATTAAGCTGTAACTGTTGTCTGAGCAGTGAACCCGCGCAGCCGCATTCAGGGACCCGTTTCACTTTTAGATTATCTAAGTTTTCACGTAGGAACTTACGTTTTTCGGAGGGGTTCGTCTAGACGGCTAAAATCTGATAGCCGACTATGACTACGACTTTGCGATTTATGATCAGTCTCACAATTTAACGAACATTTGGTAAACTATAAATGTACAAATGTAATTGGTTAACACTGATATTTATGGACCATCGTCACCACTAAGAGTAAAACAATGAACATTGCCAAGACAATCAAGACAATTGACAATAGCTCTGTAGGGTATCAGTAAAACAGCTGAAAAAAAGTAATCCCCCAAGTAGCAAATTTATGAAACACATTTTGCCAGGCTTAGGCTGGATTCTTAGCAGTCTCCGTTCAAACTGTCTTTCACCGTTTTGCTAAGCAAGCTCCGGGGGAAAGGGGCAAAGGCCACGCGACAATGTGACAACACGATGCCCAACTCAGAAATCCCCACAGGCATCTGAAATAACGAATGGAAGGCTGTGATTCAGAATGTTATCTGTTTCAAAATAAACATACAATAAAGCAATTTAGACAGCAGTGAATTATATTCAGTTACTTGATAAATGTTTTTTTTTTTCAGATATAACTGTTAAACACTAGTGAACCGCATTCACTGGGGTACAGGCAAAGATGGCCAAGCTAATGAGCTTCTCTCTTCATTGCCGTGTTGCGTTTGACAAAAGTTGACTCCATAACTCGCATTGCATGTAGGATTCATGTCGGAAATAATCTTCTTTTATACAAATCCATTCTTTTTTATGAGGGTGTTCAATCCCCGTGTTTTTGCTCGCTCGGTGCCCAGCAGGCGATAGTAACATTACGAGCAGACGTAATTCATTTGAACGAAAACCACCGATAATTTTCAGACGGTTATCATGCAATTGCCGGATCCCCCTAAAAAAACTCATCATTTTCTAATAATGATTCACAGAAAAGTGCGATGAATGAGGTAGGGAGTTAAGAAGAGTTCAAATTTGACACTTAATCTTATCCAGATTTATTTATTTATTTATTTATTACAGCCCTAATCGTTAGTGAGAAATTTAAAGTTTTTTGTTCCTGGTAAAACGTGTTTAAATTTTGAAACATTTCAAGTTACAGTCAAATGGTTCAAAACAGGCCATATAGATAACGCACCCCAGAAAGCCTCCAAGTCGACAAGTACAAGGTGTTAAATACTGTAGGCAGGTACCGGCACGTGTAGCAAACTATCTGGGCATACCGGTACCTAGAATAAACTCTTGTCCAACAGTCTTCTTGTTTATTTGACATAAAACCAAACAGGAAAATAGGCAGAAGGATTTCACGTGGATTTACGCGCAATTTTCGTCCGCTCTAGGTTGAAGGTCAGACACTCCGACGCTGACCCTTAGAGGGCGGTTACGTTCACACATATCTCGGACCTGAATCGACACGAACCCGGTCCAATTCACGTGTAGTCACATATGGCAGTTGGGGGATTGGTTGCATACTTTCCGAAGAGAACACAGAATATATTAATTCTAACCTACTAATGATTTATTGCAATCTACATGTATGTACTTCCTTCACGCCAACTGACCCTTGGAAATCAGCCAGCTCGACAATTCGAAACCTAATTGGGCTAAAACTATATGTATTTTGCTCTGTATTTTCCACTATATATATATATATATATTATTGTTATTTTTATTTTAGCAAGAGTAATCGACGTGTACGAGGCAACACTATTGATATGTAAATCTGCTAGCAAAGAATTCTGTCCTGAATAAAGGCTTTAGTGAGTTAATATATGATGAGACAATCCACAATTTGTGTTCCTATCTCCAACTCCCTCTAAAGGAAAGTCATGTTTATGAAAGGATCATTAAACTCTAGGCTTTTCCCTCGCAACTTCCTCATTCCCAATCCTAATTGCGTCCTGTTGTTCTTTCTGTGCACGTAATCGGAGTGGCTGAGTGCATTTATAGCGATGCTCATAATAAAGCTTTTCTTAATGTGTTTTTAGCAAACGGCAGAACTGCTGTAATCATTGCAAAAAATAACTTCGCTAATGCACGTTTTAAGTAACTTTTATCAAAAGAAAATTCATAAACCACATGGCGCATTAGGGTGGAAAAAAGTTGGCTATCCCATCCTTGTGCTTTCAAGTTAGGTCGGCAAAGTAAGCCTTGCGTCTATTTTTATCTTTTATGCCCAAAATTTATTATCTTGTTTTGGTACAAGAGGTACATCTAAGACTGCATTCCCACAGATTTAAATCGATCCATTTGGATAGACCTAACTCCCTGGGTGTTCACGCTTAATTGCCGTCAGTCGAGCGCGCACTATAGTTAATTACCCCCTTACAGCTTTTAGTACGCGGGACAGGCATTTAAGCCGGCTAAGCTAACAGTAAACTAGTGAGACTCCCCACGGGGATAGATCGATCTAAAATATGTGGGAATGCAGTCTGAATTTGATGGAAGCGTCCAGTGACATAAAACCTACTGAATTTCCGCTTATGTTCCCACTGCCAATTTGGACATAATTGTGATGATTCAATTGATTACTAATCCTGCATTCCTTACACAATTTTGCAACAGCGTCTGTATCCTTAACGACATCAGGTGCATGTTTAAGGCTCTGTTCTCACAACTTTTAGATCGATCTATCACCGCGGGGAGTCTCACTAGATTACTGTCAGATAATCCCCCTTAAGTGTCCGTCCCCGCCTACTACAAGCTTTAAGGGGTAATTAACTTTCGTGTCCGCCCGGCTGAAAGCTATTTAGCGTGAACCCCCAGGGAGTTAGGTCGATCCAATGTAGGTCGATCTAATCTATGAGAATGGGGTGTAAGAAGCATATCGTATCGTTGCTAAAAATACCAGGTCAATATTGAAGTTGAAGTTTTTCCCCGGTCTTTTTTTTCCCTGACACCTGTTATAACTCTCAGTGTTACATTGTCCTTCGGGTTGCAGTATATAAAGGAGTGGTTTTAAACAGGAATGGTAACATAACAATATTTCTCCGACTCTCAGTCATTGTTAAAGTACAAAAAGGGTTCAAGTCAGTCAAATGATTAGACTAACACGGTGTATTCCGCAGACACAGAGCGGTATACTTTATCGATACAGATTGGTCTGGCTATATCGTAAGAGAAACATCCTAAATGGTAAACATTGGAAAAGAACTTGTAAACGAACCCCCCCCCCCACCCCCACCCTCTTGGCGCAAATACGTGTTTGAACTCTTTTAAAGTGTACCGATCTGATACGGACTGCGTTAAATGATCCGTCCTTGGTCTATCCACTTACGGGTTAAATAATTGCACAGCTGAAACCATGTATTGTTTTAATCCCTCAGGACACCGCCAACCATTGTTTTGTTAACCCACATAATTAACAACAGGTGATTTATAAACCAATCATTGAAATTACCCTGATGGTATTTCCCAGATCGCTTTGGGAGGTAGCTTTAGGGAAGAAAAAGCGTAATTTTGAAAGGCAAAATACGTAGATTAATTACCAAGTAATGTGTAGGCTAGCCCAGTGAGGCAATTTTTCTTTCATTTCTTTTATGAGACACAAACTAAATGTCTTCAAGTAGTAAATTGCTAAATTGTTTACGGTTGCGATCAGCAGAGCTTTGGGAATGAAAAGCAATAGACTGTGTCATAAATAATTGCGAAGCGGCTATTAACGAAACGAGACGAATTGACGAATATTAACAAAAAGAAAAAAGACAGAGGAATGAGACGTTTGTTTTTTTAACCCATGTTCTAATACTTTGAAGTTCCTTTCACTGCATGAGCTCCGGTCCGATGCGACAAAATAAGGCAAACATTACCGGATTTGAGAAAGACGTAAAATAATTGGCCTATAGTGTGAAAAGGTATATAACAGAACGGTTAAATCTAGTGCAAGTAAATACAAAAAGAAATGCAGCGCAATCCGTCATGATTTTAAAGAGCTCCACTTTCTCGCTTTTTGAATCTAAGCATAATGTCGATTTTTTAAATTAATATAAATATAATATATGAATTAATATATTTCTGATACCTTAGAATACCAAACAATGCCACCATTTCTCCACGATATTGGACATCTCAAATTATATGTATATAAAAGTAAAGAGAGAGGAGAGAGATATACTCACTTATTATTCTACGAGAGAGAGAGAGAGAGAGAGAGAGAGAGGCGGTTTCACGTCAACTTACCTTAAAAACCAATCATGAAAAATACCAAATTTGAACTCCAACCATTTCCTGCATCAAAAGTTGCTCGACATGTTTCAACCATTCACGTGGTTTATGATTTTGTGTCTGTTCTAGCGTCTGCTCTTATTGTATTAGAGCTATGCATCCTATCATCAGCGAAATCCCCTCGCTAATTACGTCTCTTCTTTATCCACTGAAACATATGATCTTTGTCCGTTCAATTAAAAGGCCAGCTAACACGGCTTAGCACGTGAAGCAATGTGCATATTTACCGTAAAGCTTAGGGTCGCGTTCAAACTTAGCTAAAATAGTTCAGAGGCAAATCGGTCGATGTGACGTCTGTTCGAACTAATCAATAGCAGTTGCAATTAACCCATCGCGCACGTGGATTTTAATCTTTGAACCATGGCAATGATCGGTTCGTTTACGCATACATTTTATGTAAATAGTTTAATTACTTTGGAACAATACATTCCATCAGCCTCACACATACAGTAGAATCACATATACATAGCAGATCTGATACACGCTGGCTAATTCGATAAGCGTTACCTACGGCCGTAAAAATCACCGGGAATCGATCCACCTGAGGGTGGTGTGAATGTGTCCCCGGGAATCAATACACATTTCCCGGAGCCGTGGCTAATGAGTCTGACTGACGACTGGTTGAGCCGGAGACATAATATGCCTCATTGTGCTTTAAGCCTTAGTGTGTGTGTGTGTGTGTGTGTGTGTGTGTGTGTGTGTGTGTGTGTGTGTAGGTGTGCTTGCTCGCGCGCGTTTGTGTGTGTGTGTGTTGAGGGGGTGTCTTCTTCTTATTGTCTACAATGGGGATACAATAGCCATATAGTGTATACTCAAATGACAATGAATTAGAAAAGGAGCACCGGTCACGAAGAGAGTTTGGCGATTTGGCGATTGGGGGGGGGGGGCTTTCTTGTCTACAATGCATGATGATCTACATAGAGTATATTCAAATGACAACTAATAAAGAAGGGACACTCTGCAGTAACACAAAGTACTTGCCACAGTAGATTATCTATGTAGTAATACTATTGTGGTGCAAACCTTTCTCATATAATAATGAGAAGTATCAATGCTCAAAGTACGTGTTGTCTTTCTAGGAATTTGACTGTTTTATGTGCACCGTCACTGTCTTCTATCCTATTGGAGAAAGTTATTCTTTATGTAGATAGCTGACAAATGTGGATATGCGTCTACCAGAGCACAATGACCAATTATTATTATTATTATTATTATTATTATTATTATTATTATATACGTGTTTGTACAAAAAGCCGTCCCACGACTGTCAATGTTATTAGCATTGTATCCGTTTTGTACAATGGCACCATAATCGTTGCACGGTTGGAGATGCCATCTGCTCTCTCTCTCTCTCTCTCTCTCTCTCTCTCTGTCGAGGGAGTGTTTTTTCTTAAGGTTTTTCTTGTTCGTTTAAAAGGAACTGCTATTTAATTTAATGTGAGTTAATTTAATATCAGTCAACAGTCTCGTATGGCTTATCAAGGTACTAGTTGTTTATGTAAATAGGACTCTAAAAAAACAAATTATCCCCTTCTTAAAAATTTATCAGAGGCAAAAAGAAAGATATATATATGGCATTAAGTCCAGTAAACGCAGTCATTGATCCTAACACGACTTTTATTGACTATCCCGTTAACTTCCATTTATTGTTGAAAGTATTCTTTTGGGGAGATTTAAGAATTTCTCATCGGGAAACTTTTAAAAATAAGCAAGGAAACGGGCCATCAATTATACAGCAAGCGACAAGACTTAATGTGGCTAGATCTGTAAGAAAGTCACATTTTGTGTCAGCAAATGGGAGATAATGGCGCTAGAATATATTGATATTCGTTTTAAGACACTCTGATGTCCCCAGCGAGCTTTTAAACCCATTATATACCAAATTTCTGGATGTGGTGAAAAGTCATTCTTTAAAATGTGCTATCAAGTTTTCTCTTTAAGATTATTTTTGGCTAGCTCTTAATGTTCATAGATACAGTGCAACAATTTTTCTAAGTCTATCGCGTAATATCAAACGTCAATCGTTAATGATATTTAACGAGTCTACCACATCTGACATAGAATTACACGCAAGATTTACATTTTGCACATCGATTTTTCTCGCGTGCTTCTAGTTTCTCTTTACCTCAACAATCAAATATCACATATTCTTAGACCGTTGCGCTTTATTTCCCTTGATCGTTTTGTGCGTCTCCTATCTTTTTAAGATAAGAAGTGTAGATGCACGTTTGCAGTGAAATCACAAGACATCAGCTTTCATTTCTACCATCCCAACACCTTTAGACAAAGATCTCACAATAAAGTTGTCAGTGCTTCCATAACCTTATCTTAAATCTGACGAGCGTTTGTTTCCATCGACTTTCTATGTCAGACAGCGAAAACTTTGAGCGAAGTCATTTTAATCGGCTACGGTTGACAGACCCTCTTTAGAGAGCATTGCTCTCTTTATGGGCATAATCAATTTCCCTTACGAACTGATGACAGAAAGACACTTAACGTAGTCATTGCAGTACAATTGACCCCAAACAACGGGGGCGAGCCACTCAATCTAGAAGGCACGCTCAAGTGCGAGTGAGAATCGATCATAAGAAAATGAAAAAAAAAGCACTTACCTGAAAAATTCTCAAGATATATATGTACAAAGTCCCAAATTGTGTTAATGTTTCTATAGTCGGGTTGTGAGGGACACATACTTTAAATGGCGGTCGTTCGAAATCTGGTGTGACGTCACAGAGGGGTTGGTGCCCAATGATCAAGCTCAAGGAAGCCCCGCCGTGGGTATCGACCCACTGAATGGTACGTCATGCTTATCCTATCCTGTACGAATCTAATGGAGGACGGACTAATGTTATACGGACCCAAGTTTTGTCACACCGGCGTCGACTCTTAACAAAATGACAAACAGTTCAGAAAAATAGGTCGCAAATTTGTTGCAGACTTAATTTTTGCTAAGGGGGGGAGGGAGGAAGGGACACTAAAATGACAAAGTGTTCACTCCTGGAGGGTATGCAGACATCACCGTACACAACCTCTTAATATACCGTGATCGGCTTTCATTTTTCAAATCAAAAGATCAATATCAGTCCACTTAGTCACCTAATCGTAATTTGAATATGGCGTGAAATTTCTGTGTGGCGGCCGGTCGCCCTAAACACATCTTGCGTGTCAGAAGTCACTTGAAACTCTCCTCTATTAATAATACGCCGTTTCCAATAACGGCAAAAGAGGAGGAATTACAGAAAACCCCCTGAAACGCAGGTTACTACATGTATGAAGCGCGCAACTGTTCGAAAGATGACACAGAGTAATCACAGTGACGGGATTGTGCCGGTTTTTTGTAATGCGTATTCAGGTGAAAAAATACACGCAGAATCTTTTAGGATATAGTCTGATTTAGGAAGCATTATCGTGAATTCTTCACAGTTTCTTTGATTTTTTATCAGTTTGTGATATTTTTGGACTCATTTCTTTCCTTTTTTTTTTTGTCTGCTTGATAAAATGTATACCTGCCTACCTGTCTGCCCCGCCGTCTGGCTGTCTGTCTGTCTGGCTGTCTGTCTGTCAGACTGATAACCTGGTAGCTTTTCTTTCACTCCTCTCATCCGTCCATCAATCAATTAGTCCTAATCTGCATCCACTCACCCGCTCATCTATCTTCAAATATAAATTTTTTGCTGAAATGGCGGTCTTGTCATTCCTTTAATGTCCTTGTACATGATTTATCCCATCACTTAACGATCGCTTCGTAAATTATTTAGGGGCGTTATCAGATGAGCGGCAGGGCACAGGGGATTTGCACTTTAGATTTGCGCTGTAGAGGAGTGAGAATGCCCCCATTGATGTCCGCTTAAAACTTTTAGTTCAGGTCCAAGTTTTTTTTTTCATGCTAAAAGTGTGCCATAAATTGTTCTTTGCACAAATAGAAGTGTCAATTTTCCTCTACGGGGTACGATTAATTTTATCGTCATAAAGCTAGACCTGACATTTAATGTGGAGAATTTATTCCAAATAATTTTTTTTTTATTTTTCAGACTTTTTTGCTGATAAATGAAAACAATGACTAACATTGTTTTAATTACTTTTAATAATCTGTACAATATAATTGTGACATCGATGCATTAACTGAATTCACCTAATAAAGCAAACAAAAATACGTGGCCGATTCTAAATCGTACATCAACCATGAAAAGTGTTATTTTGATCTCCACATTTTCCAAATTATAATCTGTGAAAGAAAACAACACTATTATCTGCAAATACAAGTGCTCCGTGTGGAGGGATATTTTCATTTTGTAAAATGAAATTGCTCCTGAGGTGCCCTCCGGCAAATTTGAGGCAGTTGGTTTTCACCAAATGGGAGGTAGTTGGTTTCCAGAATATTCCTGCATTTTACCTGGTTAAGGTTTCCAACGATGACTTCAAATAACGAACATATTTCAGCATATTACATATATCTAACATCTTACATTTACCTCGCTGTACTGAAGTGCATTTTTTACCTATAAATAGCACTGTCTTTTCGGGCGTGCGCGCGCGCGCGTGTGTGTATGCGTGCCAAAAATATCCAGACTATCGACCACGATATATCTTACCAGCAAAAAAGGCAGCGACGTTATACAGTAGCTAACCAAGTAAGCAATGCATGCATGTCGTATTCTCACGAGAACTGAATTAATCAATTGCAAATATGATTTTCAAATTAATTTCATTGCTTTTTTTAATGAAACAGGTGATGGTCATTCATGTATTTATGTGTTGCACGTTAGGGATCATTTAGCCGGGGAGTGCGAGTACCCGATCGATTTTCTGCCAAAATCTCGGGTACACGGAGCAAGGGAAATCTCTGCTACTGGGTAATTATCAATATAAATATAAATATCAATATCAATGGACGTAAACGTCCTCCCCCAGGGCCGAATTTGAAAGTGGTTTTTGATGACTTTCAAAAGAAGAGAGAAAAGCAAGGGTCTTCTCATGACAATAAAAGCATGCTTCTTTCACAAGATTTGCAATGTTATTACATGTATAACGGGTAGAGTACATGTTAGAGATGCCAAATAGGTCCCTTATACACTTTGTTAATAAATTTGCACAAATTATTGAGTTCTTTTTTTCTTTTCTTTTTTGTTGAGAATAATTGACTTGATTACATTTGGTTTGATACATGATTTTCTTTGGGATAAATAAACTTCTTTCTACAAAAGAGGAGCAATTAAATATATAGTGATATTCACTGCTTATATCTTCTTTACACCAGTTACATTATCTCTAATTCCTAGGTTGTTTGTCCATCTTCGAAGTCGAGCACTATAGTCAAGGAAACGGGGGGCACGAGTCATCGACCGGAATCTCGAAAGTTCTCGCGTTCTGGTGGAGCAACTCGATTGCACCACCAACATGAGGCGAGTCGCATCTGCTGCATTCGTTAAACACATCGCGGCCCAACACATAAAAGGGTTGTGAGCTGGCCTGACAAGCATTTCCTAGTTTTATTAATGATCTTACGTTTTAAATTTTGAGTCTCATTTGAGTGAAATATAAAAAATAAGACAGAGTATAATATACATATATTCATCCTATACGCCTATGTAAATCATTTTCATCACCTTCCAAGTGTACTAGCTTTAAATATGAGCAACATTTCACTTTTGAAAACACTTTCAAATTTTCAAAGAATTGATTAAATAACAATTTTGACAGGATAATACATGTACATGTACCGGCATGCATGCCTATTTGTTTACTTTTGTTATCTTTCTTTATACTTTTAATCGGTTTATGAGACTTATCTGAGTAACGCCAGGCAAAAGGACTCAAGTTCCCTATGTCAAAAAACTTTCAGAAAAAAAGGGGGGGGGGGTATATGTACATGTAGTGCCTCATTTGAGATTGCCCAGGTGAATAACGCGCAAGATGTACAATCATATACCTTTTTATAAATTGATTAACAAAGGGAGGGAATACTTACAGGTGTATGTAACGAACTCAAATTAAAGCTGTTGAGACGTTTTATTGATAAGATATGCAAAACTGACCCTCGCAAGGATTGTTACTTGTGATTTAAAAGATACAGTTGATGACCCCTCAATTTACTCTGCTGTTATACCCCTACCGGTAATTATTCAGCCGCAGACCCCAGACAAGACGCTTATCGCATATGGGTGAATATTGTAGTTAGTTTAATACAGTGTATATAGGACAGGCACATTTCCTGCTTACAAACTTTCTGTTAGGCCACCATGGAGAGGATTTTAGTCTGTTCTGTGTTGTGGATATTTGTGTGTGTCGTGATACATGTACATGTATGTAATGGTGATGTACCGGTAGCTGAGTCAAAGGATGGTGGCGGTTTTCTCCACAGCGCTGTTCTCAAGTCTGGGATATTTTATTTGTTTTGGAAATATGACGACAATCGTATTACATTTGAAGTACAGGTGGGTTAGGACAATTACGGATATTTCTTAGTATTGAACTCGGGCTTATTTGAAATTCGCCATGGTCTCGTAATAATGATATACCGGTATATGGCGAAAAAATAGAACAAGTGGAAAGTTTGCTATTGCCTACATTTCATGCACATATAGTTTAGATATACATACATACATGTACATGTATTTAGAAGTTCTCTTTGTCTAAAATATCATATCTTTATTCCTTTCTTTTTACAATTCGTAAAGGTTAGGACTGCCGGGTACGTAGGCGTAGGATTCTCACCGAAAGGTGGAATGGCGGGAGCAGATATTGTTTTAGCTTGGGTCAAAGACGGTCAAGTTTACGTTAAGGTAATGTTGAATTTTTTGTCATTATATTTCATTAATGAAGTGCATTTTGAAGTAACTCATGTAAAAATTGAGAAATGTAGCATTCGACTGTACTGAATAGTTTAATACTTACAATATACATGTACATACCTTGGGAATGACAAAATACACTTCCACCCCCTCCTCCTTTTTTTATTTATTTATTTATTTATTTTTTTTATCAGGACTGCTTCGCTACTCACAACGGACAACCTGCCATAGATAAGACGCAAGACGTAAAACTTGTTTCTGGCAGCGAGAACGGAACGTTTACGACAATCAGATTCAGCCGAGAATTAAACACGTGTGATAAGAATGATAGAGATATCACTGTGAGTATTTTGCTAGTTGAAATGATAATAAATACTTTCGCGCTAGGGCATAATTCGGTTCGTACTGTATGCCCTAGTTTTGCGAGATTAAGCCTACTTTGTAAATTGTGGCTTCGGAAAAAATTCTGATAAATGTTTTTTTCTGATATCATGTCAAGTGATAAAATTATGATATTAAAAATGTAAAAAACACCTGCGTCCTATTCAAGCACTAGTAGTGATTTGCCGCTTTAATCCTATATTTCTAGAATATCAAATTGGTTCTTGGTCATTACGTCCCTTTTTGTTTGATTACACTAATGGGTTTGACGATATTGGTTCGATCCCACGAGTGCGATGTCACGCAACGTTAAAGACCAAAAACATACATCGAAGCGAAATCAAAATATAGGCTGACACGATCTCGTAGTCTTTAATTGGATTTTTCATTCATCTTCAGGAGGGCACGGTGCGGTTAATTTGGGCGTACGGCGATGCTAATCCCGAAACAGAGACCAGTATGAACTACCACGGCGTTAAACAGCGCGGGACAAAAAGCATCCAGCTCCTTGCAGCTAGAGCTGCTGCCGTCAGAACGGTTCCTTCCGATGCTTACAATATTGATATGCTTAATCTAAATGTAAGTGTAATTATAACAGTACACGAGCTGCGTTAAGCAGNCTAATCCCGAAACAGAGACCAGTATGAACTACCACGGCGTTAAACAGCGCGGGACAAAAAGCATCCAGCTCCTTGCAGCTAGAGCTGCTGCCGTCAGAACGGTTCCTTCCGATGCTTACAATATTGATATGCTTAATCTAAATGTAAGTGTAATTATAACAGTACACGAGCTGCGTTAAGCAGTGAGTTATATACTAGGAAATGCATAAAGCTCATTAGTTTAGCATGGTTCCTTTTCACATCTTTTACTTCTTCGCCCCATTTTGAAGGACTTAATTATAATGTAAGTTGTACTAGTACTTACGCTTTAGGGTTTTACCCCCTTTCATAAGTTCGCCTTTAACTGTATCGACTTAATCAAAATTAATCCGGTTAATCTAGTGAGAGGACTCTCTTTAGCAATAGCCAAGCTATTCATTTTTAATTGTTTACATTTATCTTCCGAAATGGTGCAAAACAGTTAAGTCTATTATTGGAATACTTTTGTTATCTGATATTCTACTCTCATCTATTTTGCTTTAAGACTTTTGCTTAAGTTATATTTCAAGATAAAGATCTCATTAATAACAGTATCATTACTCATCATTTTACCAAAAAAAAAAGTTGAAATCGAGGCTGGTGTGACGTCATGATAATATGAGTACTATCGTTATCACAGCAACAAGTTAACGCTTTTGACATTGTTTTCGTTTTCATCTTTTTATTAAAATAAGGTATCATACTATCGAGCTACATGTACATAAAGACGTATTGCTTTAACAGAATTGATCTGATTTCTAGGTCACAATAAGGTCATCAGAGAGAACGCTGTATTGGTGCCATGGTATCAAGTTGCCCTCTTTTCAAGGCGTACATCACGTGATAAAGGTGATACATGCTCACGTTTTCCGTTAAGCTGAAAATTTTGGTGGCGTTTTAGACACACACACACACACACACATACACACAGAGAGAGAAAACAGATACAGTTGACTCTTTAATGTTTATATTAAACAGAAATCAATATCTGTTTCTTGGTTTCTGAACAACCAAATAAAAATGTACGGGAAAGATAGAATAATGCACTTAAATAATACAACTTGCTTAAAAAGCAAAAAAAAAAAAAAAAAAAAAAAAAAAAATCAGACATCTCGTATCTTTAGTACCCCAGCACTGCACAATTAAAAATAACGCCAAACAATGGACTTTTTTCTTTAATCCTTCAGTATGAGGCGATTATCCCAGAGAAGCACAAGTGGCTGGTCCATCACATCTTCCTGTATGCTTGCTATCACAAGGTGGACGTAGACAAACACGACGGGGCGGCATGGCGGTGCTATTCACCAATTACGCCTCCTGAACTGCGGAACTGCTTCAAGGTTGTGTTTGCCTGGGACAAGGGCGGAGAGGTTTGTATGGGCAAGAACCTAGAAGCAGGAATAGCTACTACTCTGCTTGTACAATTGAAGCTTATTGTAATGGGTATATCGGCTAGCTCAAAAGATGTTTCAAATTTATTAGAGATCATTCCCAAATACTATCGCACTAACTTTGGATCGAACTATCTCCAAGGGGATTCTCGCTTAATTGCAAGTTTGGGCGGCTTAGATGTCTGTCACACCTACTGAAGCTGATAGGGGGTAATTAACTATCGTTTAGCAGCTTTAGTAGGCGTACCAGACGTCTAAGCCACTTGAGCCGAAAGCAATTTAGCGAGAGACCCCGTGGAGATGGACCGATTCTGTTAGATCGACCTAGGGAGGGGAACCCAGTCTTAGTTAAATACCTTCAGCGGTTCGCCATGCAGCTTTTGAATTAAAATTTTGCACAGATTGTTTGGTGCGTAATTGCTGGTCAACATTAAAAACTTCAAAATTTGAAGTGAAACAGTTTTGATATTATCGTCAAATTGCATAACTGATCTTATTTTCTGAAGTTTTGTCCCTTTCAGGCATTCTACTTTCCCGAGCATGTGGGCTTTCCATTGGGAGACGACCAAGGCCCAACGTTTCTTATCATGGAAACCCATTACAATAACCCATCTGGAGAAGAAAGTACGGAGAGAGAGAGGGAGAGAGAGAGGTCACACGTTAAAAAATAACGTAGATTATTTATATATTTCTTGGCATAAAATACCGTTTCATACATAGCAAAAATATAAACGGGCATATAACGAAAAACAGGAAAGGTAAATCATTACTCTTAACCATCTTAAATATTTTTCATATATGGAGACGTCCTGCTTTTGGTTGTTCATGCACATTCAAGACAAGAGAATTGGGAATAATAGCCATGCATTCTTCTGTTTAAAGTTAATCAAGAAACCTCAGGTTTGCGACTAACTTTGATACCACGGCGGCGCCAGTACGATGCCGGTTTGATAGAAGCGGGTGTGACTCCAGTGAACATGCCGTTAATTATACCACACGGGCAACCCGAGTACAAAATCTGGGGATACTGCCCAGCGTCCTGCATTGCTAGGGTAAGGAAATAGTTTCCTTTTTCATTCAATGCAACCAGATGTCTTTGTTCAGTGAACAGTGTCTTCAGTAACCAACACTTGAGGAGTTCTGCTTTTAAGTTAGCAGATCACACAATAAATAGAATTATTTGAGTGTCAGACCAAATACCTGACTAAATGTGCAAATCGCAAGTGTTTCTGTTATTATAAAAACAAAAAGTCTTATATTTTCCAAATACACCATCACTAGGATTTTGTATTTTTCCGATGTCCTGTCGGTGTACGGGTAGGAGAGAGGGTCAATAATGGATTGATTATTTATTTCTTTCTTTCTCTGTTAACTTCAGGGTATGGGAGAAGTGAAAGAAATCAGGGCTTTCGCCATAACCTTGCACAGTCATCTTTTAGCAACGAAAATGCACATTCGTCAATTCAGGGATGGTATAGAGCTCCCCTTTTTAGCAGCAGATGAAACTTATGACTTCGATTTCCAAGAAATTCGCCATCTTAAAAAGGAAGTGGTTATAAAAAAGGTAATGATTATACGTAAAAACTGCTTTTTCCGTGCCCTTAACTTTATATGTTTCCATTTATTTATTTATTTAACATTATGTGCTGTACATTTTATCGGATATTATGTAATGCATTTTATTGAATTGTACATGTAAATAGTAAATTGAGCCTCTCTCTCTTTCTCAATAAATTCAATAGTTTTGAAGAGTTGCAATGTAATTTAAGATATTAAAAATGTTCTTGATAAATGCTGAAAGATTCATGCCTCTACCTTAACAATCGTGTTTTTCGGTTTTTTTTCCTCAGAGGGCGACTCGCTGGTAACAATGTGTACGTATAACAGCACCAGAAGAGATAACCCCACATGGGTAAGATACTGCTTTTTCTGTTCTAATATTATTTTTGGTACATTAGAGTACATTGCATCTGCATTTATTTTTAGTAATTTTTACAATTACAGAATACCATAATGCCGTGATAATTTTCCGCTATTCTAAAGTGAGCGCAGTTATTTACATCTCGTTTGTTACGTGCCTTGAATGCAATTTTTGATTCTTTTCCACGAATTGATACAGAAAGTTTAAACTTTTTTATTACTGAGAAACAAAATTCAGTCACAACCCCTTCCAAAAAATTAAGTAAAAAAAAGGAGGAGTAGAAGGAAAAGAAAATGCATGATAATCCTTTAGGGGTGCCTTAGAATTCCGATGTTGTTTTATTTCCCCCTTTTATGTTATTTTATTTAACTGTTTGACTGTAGATTTCATATTACTGATACACTGTAAACATATGACTTTAATTCTAGTCATTTGTTGATGGTAAATTACCTTGGAATCTCTGAAACGCCTTCCCTGTCCACATGGAGTAATCTTATGCATGAATATCAGGTTTTTATTGCTTAATAATAATTTGTCAATTAAAATATTATTTCAGGGTGGTTTTAGCACAACCTCAGAAATGTGCCTGGGCTATGTCTTCTATTATCCAAGAATTGACCTCAGTAATTGCGAAACGTCGGTGGAAATGGACAAGTATTTTGATACCGTCGCAGAAAAATTGTAAGCCATTTTCTGTTGAAGTAGCTTTATTATTTGGTTTTTTAATCATGTAACATTTTACAACAATCGTTTTCTTACCAGTCAAGTTGATATCCGAGCGTGGTTTTCATGTTTTTTCTTTTCTTTTTTTTTTTCAGGAATATTACCGGAGATAAGGATAACCCTCTTTACCGAGTGTTGTTCCGGAGGTACATCAAACAGTTTTTGGATTTACCTGGAGGAGCAAAGACCCTTCAAGAGATGGAATATACAAGCCCCAGGGTTCAGAAATGCCAGGGACCAACATTTTTCGTGGTATGTTCAAAGGTTTCCCATTATTTCAATAAATGATACAATTAGCATAAGAAATTGAAAAAAATGATCGAGCGATTTTCTGCTAGATTGAGTTGTCATTATTTTTGTTTAATTAAGGAAGTGGCAACAACTTTCTTGTCCCTTAACATGTTATCACTCCAAAACGTATTGACTGAACATGCTGGATATCAGGTAAACCTCTACATGTAATATAGAAAATATACCGACTGTTTATTTTTTGCTCAAGGTTGTTTTAACAAATGAACAGTAAAAGTCTACACAAAATGTCTCTTCACAGAATGATGCGGTACCGCCATTGAACATCGCCAGCCCATACACACCACCAGCGGGAAGATGTACGGGGCCGAAAGTTCTCAATCACAATGACCAGATGAACGCTTTCAATGAAACAGCTCCGTCCTATGAGTGGACATCTCCGTCTGGTGACAATACATTTGCATCTAATACTAATTTGGGAAAGATTGAGGACAATCAAACATCTGTATCAGATCCTGGACAACAGAAAAATACATCTTCTTGGCACACGAGCGGTCCGCTTCGTCATGATATTGGATTTAACGTTGTCCTCATCATTCTTATCATATTAGCAATATTCGGATTGTTTTACCGTTATAAAGACAACTTTAAGTCCTTTGTCAGTACCCAGTGGCAAAAATACCGGAGAGTTTCGTATTCTCTTGTTATGAATACAGACACAGTGGCATAAATGTAAGATAGCAATGTATTATGTTAAGATACGCCCCATCAGGATGAGCTGATCAGGGTGTAATTTTCATTTTATAATTTATATCAATTTATTCGTATAATATTTAATGGTTAGGAACACAAAGGAAAGGGTTACAGGCGTACCATGAAAATCTGACTCCCCTAAAATGTGACTCCCCAGTCAGATTTCACCTTCAAACTAACAAAAAGTGCCAATGTGTCCTCCGTTATGCATACTACAAGATCATAGTCATTTACTCAAATAAAATGAGATCACAGTCATATACTCAAAATAAAATAAGATTTATGAAGTTTTGTGGAGGGGGAGTCAAATTTTCATGGGGGAGTCAGATTTTCATTATGTGCACATTTTTAATTTTCTTATTTTTTCATGAAAATTTTCACCTGCAAACTACAAAAAAGTGTCAATGTATTCTCCATTTTCCATACTACAAGATCACAGTCATATACTCAAAATAAAATAAGTTTTATGAAGTTTTGTGGAGGGGGAGTCAAAATTTCATGGGGGGAGTCAGATTTTCATTATGAAAATCTGACTGGGGGAGTCAAATTTTCATGGGAGTCAGATTTTCATGTTACACCGGTACACGTTGCTTAATATTTCACAATGAAAGATTCAACCAAAGATTACGACAAAAACTTACTTATTATACCCTCTACCAGGGTGGCAGATATTATAGGGAAATTTTGAAAAAGTCAGAGAATGAAATGACTATTTATCTAAAGTCATATCTGTGAATATCTTGTGAAAAATCAATCTGTCGCCCTGGTAGAGGGTAGAATAAGTATGAAATTGAAAATGTCTGCAAGTCGTATTTTTATGTCTACCGCTAGGAATTTCTTGTATATTTATCGTTAATTAAATGTTAAGTACATACTGCAGTTCAGTATACTGGTACACGCGTGAGCAGTGTTTATAGTCAATGCGTTGTCTAAATGATAGCAAAAAAAATGGGTATCATCCTTTTAACCACATCATACTGGAGTCACAGTGAGTAATATCGATAAGTGGAAATTATCAGCGTACAGAGTTTTCAATCTTGAAGTTCAACCCACTTCACGCGGATTCGCGCATTTTTTCTCGTCTCGAAGTCTATAGTCTCGTATGATGCACAGCCGTCAGCTTCTTTTTCTGCTGTTTCGAATACACAGATAAGCATACTAGTAACACGTCTATGGTCTAGTGGTTAGAATTCCTGGTCTTAACCCAGGCGGCCAGGGTATAGTTCGATAGTATTGTAATATGTTAGGTAGAAAAATTAAGGGAGGAACATCACAAAAGTGTGTTTTCGTCATCTTCTCTCTTGTCTCTTGAGTTGAAATTATCCCAGGCATGAAAATCCAATAATAAACAGGTAGAACATGCAGTCCGGTATGGTCTAGTGGCTAGGATTCCTGGTTTTCACCCAGGCGGCCCGGGTTCGATTCCCGGTACCGGAAGATGTTTTTAGTCTGTATGTGAAATTCACGCCAAAGTAGTCGACGGTGTAACGTCATTTTGACCAGCCAACAAAAGGACGTTGGTATCAAGTATTATTTCAAAATCAAGTTTTATCTCTAATCAGTATATATTGGATTTGATAATGATGCAAATTTAAAAGAAGAAAAAAAGAAACGGTATACCGGTATATTAAAAGTAGCCCGCGAAAAAGATTTTCCCTCGGAAAACTCTCAAATACTGGGAACAACCTCTGTTACTTTTTCCTGACACTTGTCATAACTCTGAGACAATCTTGGGGAAATAAAGTTCTTTTAAGTCCGCCATCACTTCCATAATAACCTTTACCTACATGAACATGTAAGTACAGTTTTACGTGCAGATACTAAGTACTAATACACTGTACCTATACAACAAATAACATGAGATTTTATCAAAGAATCACTCAGCTGTCTAAAATCTATTGATCAGAACTAAGCTGTCAACAATACGGATAACGGTAAATGTCGCGTATAAAACGGATCTGTCTCCGGGGTAACAACTATGTGACCAAGTAATAAAGAATGGTATGGTATGATAAGGATGATATATGACGTCAGCGACCTCTAAGCAATAAGTGTTTGCATGCGGCAATGCAGTTCAGCAAAGGTCTTCATCATACTTCTAAACTGAACAGGGTAACTCGTGCGATGCGCTACACCTCGAACAGGTACAATAGGCATAATTAACAGTGATTTATTGCTGAGACGTTATTGGTTGAGGTGAGCTAAACAAATACTAGCTTCCCTTTTAAGATCCGGGTGTAAATTTTATGGGAATTTCTACAGGGGAGTGCCCAGTGTATACGTACACGGCATAAGATCAGGAGGCGAGAGCTACAGTTATTTAGTACATATTGGCAGAGAAACAGTCTCAGCAGTTGGTTGTGGATCATGCGGGCGTTGCTGTCTATTTTAGGTGAGCTGATATTACTCGTTCTAGTACTCTGGTATAAGTGAATGAGTGCTGGAGTACGTCAAAACGCTCGGGCCTGCTAGGCACGTGAGAAAGTAGGTGTGGCGGGTGAGGAGTGACATATTACGAGTATCACTCTGAATGAAATAACCGAGAGATCGTGATTTCACAGCAGTATTGTCCAGTTGATTCCGCGAGGTCTTTATAGTACTTCCTGGTGTAAATGCTGTCCTGGTGTCTCACTGCTGCACTTTATATGAGATGTAAACAGTGATCGTTATACAATATATTACAGCATGTCTGAGCAGTGACCTATATTGTATAAATTGACAGTTGTCTGTACTAAAATAGGTCACGGCCCGATTTACATTGGTCCTGGTGAGGATCTTTTTAATTTTCACGTATCGTTTATAAAAATTTAGAGCAAATGCTACATGTAATAACATGGAATGTCATATAGAACACATATCCTTACACGCACGTATACCCTTCTATTGGAGGTGGGTGTCGGTTCGATGTGCACATTCCACACATTCTATATGTTTATTTAATTGGACTGTTTAACCATAGGGTCTTTTATCAAGTTGATTTTTACAGGCGGGTTCCTGTAACGTGTGCAATTATGGTGGGGGTTACTCACATAGACTATACTACAAGTACAAACAGTGTGTACATGTACCTACATATGTTACGTGACCGAGGCGATATACGATTTATTCGGTTTTAGGGTTGTTTTTCTAGGTGAAATGTGTAAATCATTACATGTAGATACCGGGTACTTATGTGGTATTATTACCATTCTTTTTTCAACCATTGAACGCTCTTGAAAAAAGAATGGTATTATTACCATTCTTTTTTCAAGAGCGTTCAATGGTTGATTATGTAAAAGCCAATGACAAAGTCGTAAAAAAGTACTGTAACAATTTTGGTGGCAGTTTTAAAGTTTGAAATACATGTTGGGCATTCACTCGTATCAACTGCATTCACAAAGAAAAATGCAATCCGTATGACGGTTGAAAGCCGTTTCACCATCAATCATAATTAAAATAGCATACTGCAGTACAAGAAGGATACGTCTGTTAAAGTATTTTACTACAACTTATTGATTCAAATAAATCTTGCAATGCCTGAAAGTCCTACTGTATTCGTTAAAATACATAAATTCTATAACATTCGTCATTCTTTTTATGCACACATTTCCTCCTTAATATATATTTTTTTTATTTTAGGCCCTATTTAGAATTATTTATTTCTAAAGCAAGTGTTGTTTCAGTTATTGTCCAGTTGACTAGTGCCAGCAAGATTGATATTGGTGGTACGTCATGGATAAAGGATGTTTTGCTGACTCATTTCTCGTTCACGCGACATCCCGACGTGAACGTGACTGCAAAGACGGCGGCCCAGCTTTTTATTCAAAATGAGTTTAAGGCGTACGGATTAGAAGTTCTTACGAACTCTTTTCCAACAACCAGATCTGACGTAAGAACTATTGATTACATGTGGTAATATTAATGTTAAGAAAAAAGAAAATCAGTTTAACTTGGCGTTAATTCGGTTTGTCTTAATAAGTGCACCTGTCTCTGAACATTTCCTATAATCAATTAGAAAATTATTGAAATTGCATCGGGAATAATTACAAGGACTTATTTGAAAAAAGAAATCAAAGTAATGTACTTTCTAGTGGGCTAGTGGTTCAGTAATCTACTTAAAAGATGCAATTTAAGTACTGATACATTTGCGAAAAGCTATGCAGTATTCCTAACCATATTCAGATAAAAAGTCTTCCGCTCTGGATGGTTATTTAACCAGAGAAAAGGAATTTGAAAACCACTACATAACTAAATTTTTTCAATTTCATCTTTTTCCTCTTCATTTTTTTTTCAAAATGTAGGTGACGGGATATAATTATATTGGCGTAAAACGCGGTTTGCGCTATGGGACAGCAGACGACAGGCCAGTCATGCTTCTTGCCCACTACGATACCGTCAGCACAACAGAAGGTAACACCTAAGGCTGCGTTCACATGGAAAATCTATTTTCTAAAAATCTAAAAATCTATTTTCGGTATCTTGTGATCACGGTCTGTGCCCTGGATACCCCGCGGCGTAAGTACTGGCAGCGCCGAGAATTAATTACAGCTTTGGAAGTAACTGGCTCGCGCTGCCAGTAATTACGCCGTTGGGTATTCAGGGCACAGACCGTGATCACAAGATACCGCAAATAGATTTTTAGATTTTTAGAAAATAGATTTTCCATGTGAACGGTCCCTTAAGGCCCTTTTCATAACGAGCGTTATACTTCAGCGATTCAATCTGTACCTGTACGTTTTGTAACCGTGGACGCTTTGTTTAGATTACTCTTGTAGCCTACGTAATATACGTAATTAACTTAATGATTAATTTTCAATTAAATTTTGTTATATTTGAATATTTGTTTTAACAACCCAGGGGTGGACGACAACGGCTCGGGGATAACTGCTTTACTTCAGGCGGCTAAAGCTCTGACGTCAACAGGGTGCACCTTTAATTACACTCTGATGTTTGCTGCAGTCGACTTCGAAGAAGGGATTGATTTGGATAATGACAGTGAGTAGTATTTCAAAATAAATTGTATACGACTTACAACTGCATAAACGTCGATTGTATTTTGCAACATACCATACCTGTATGCAGCAGTAAGGTCTATCGCATATACATGTAACCCTTGCTTATATTGTTTTAAGAAATGAAGGCGCGCGCGCACACACACACACACGCACGCTTATGCCTTCATATGATATGCATTTTCATCACAGTAATAAATGATACCAAACCACTCATATCAATCCAAAATTATATTAATTGGTTTCTAACATTGACTCAATACGGCCTAAACTCACTAATACCTTCATTTAACAAATAAAATGTTTTTGAAAAGCAAAAAGTTCTGGTTTGAAATGATTAAAATCGATTTTTCAAGCCAATCAACAGTTCAGCTGCAGTGGTTTGTGTGGAAGCAAGTTCTTGGTAGATGACTGGCTGCCCAAGTGGTTTCAGAACGTCAGCGCCCTTGACCAAAACAACAACCCAACGTTTCAAGGCGCCATTGTTTTAGAGACTATTTTGCATATCAATATGACCAATGACAGCCAAATCGTCCCAGGCGCTTACAGACCGGTAAGTGTATATCTCTGTGAACTTGCAAATGAAACAATAGCTCAACAGAAAATGTTTCTTCATTTGTCTTTACACAACGCTAAACAAACCCCCGCAAACAGAAGCGGGCAGATTAATATAAAAACAACGCTTTCAGGGTAACCAACCTCCACAAATGGCGCTTAATTTCTATTGCAGTACTTCCCTGACGTCTACACCAGAATCGAGGCCAGGGGACGGAGGGGAGACTTTATCGCAGCCATGGGTCGAGAGGGTCAACCTGAGATGGCTTTGCTGGACGCATTCACGGCCAGTTGGAAAGCTCAAAGCGCGTCACCGGAATTTGACGTGGAGAGGTTTAACATGCCGTACATTCAAAACCTTACATATGACCTGGCATGGAATACTTATCGCGACTTGGTTCGCAGTGACCACTTGAGGTTTTGGCTGGGCGGGCTCCCGGCCATTTGGATAACGGATACAGGTGGGATATTTTGAATTGTATTAAATGTATCTTTTAACCATTAGACTTATCCAGACGTGAATTTACAAGTTCACTCCCAACTGCTTAAAAACAATCAGAAGCAATCCAAATACCTTGCTTCGTCTTGCGCGAGGTTTCCGTTTAAATGAGTTTCTAAATGTAATTACTGAGCTAGTTTAATGAAAGATATTGCGTCATGTAAAAATCTCTTCAGTTGGCCAAAATGGTTATTTGTAACGCCATTAACTTATATATTTCATACCAGCCAACTTCCGAGGTTCCATGAGAACATGCTACCACAGCCCATGCGACAACCGTCACCTAGCAACCGAGCAGAGCTTGGACTTCCTCGGGAAATCTACACAGTCATTGGTGGATGCACTTGCAGCGCTGGCTGAGTTCAATGTCTGTAAGTAAATGTAATACGCACGATGGTTTTGCAAATACTGGTACAACTGTAACGTTAATTAGTCGAAACTTAAGTTAGGTCAACACCTACACCCACAACAATTACAGAATCCGCAGCAGGTATGGTAGTCTCGGTTTGTGATCTGTTAGAGAAAGATTACGTCTAAAGCTACTAGGGGGGGTTCCACCTCTAGCCCTGCCTAGCTGCGCCGCGAGTAAATTAAAATTGGCAAATTGTAGATTTAGCAAGAGGGCAAGATATTCCCTCGTTCCGAAGCAGGTGACTGCAGTTGCTTCATATCATTCATTTGTTGTTGTACGTACATGTAATACCTCAATCGCTCTTTCTCTCTCATATTTTTGTAAGAACTTCTGTCCGGAACATCATTCTGTAATTAAGTTCAGACCCGTAGCCAGCAATTTCAAAAGGAAGGATTCTTTTTCTGAAAAAATGGACCATTTACCATGAAAGCTTCATGTACCTAGATAAAACTGAACTCTGAGGGGACCTTTTCCCAGCAAAAGGGGGAGGGGGTTCTTTCGACCCCCCGAACTCCGCCTCCCGGCTATGGACCTGGGCCCGGTTGCACCAACCGGTCGTAAGTGAGGCGTAGCAGTTGCGCCGGCGTAAACCGGGCGCAACTCTCTACGCCCGAGTAAAGCCAGTTGCACCAAACTAGAATAGTGTTTACGTCGGTCTAAACTTAGTCGTAAATTTACGCCTGCCAGCTAGGTGGTGTAAGTCGGTCGTAGCTCGTTGTCCACTATGGCTAGGCAAGCACAGAGAGAGTTTGATGACAATTATCGTAGTTAACGTAGAAAATGTGGGTTGTTATTTGTTAGTTTCTTACTCAAAACTTCCGTCTGTGTAGCATGGTTTAAAACAAAAAAAAAAAAAAAATATATATATATATATATATATATATATATATATATATATATATATAAGTGATTACTAAATACATTATATGTGTAGCCATGTATATGTACATGCATATGTTCAAATTAAATCTTACCACTCATGTAGGTACGTCTTGGCTCTCAGCAGTACGGTTTCTTTAATTCTTTTCACAATTTTTGACGAACCATAACTAACCATAGTCATTCTTTCTTCACATTTTATATCATTCATATTTTACTATATATAAACATAGAGACGAAAGCTTAAAATATCAACATTTCAAGGCTCATATAATATGTATTAGGTCTCTTGTATTTCTTAATCTCCAAGATGTAAGCTCGATTGATTAAATGATACCTCACGGTGTAACCATAGTTAAGAAGTAAGAAATTGTCGGCACTGTTGTAAAATTATAAAAAGAGAGCAATGTTGGCGTTTTTGCATTATTTTCAGACTCAAAAGTTTCAATAACAAATGTGAAGGTGTTACAACAGCATACTATAATAGCATACTATAATAATATTTTGATTCGGAATATATTTACGATTTTATTGCTATATATCCAAGGCAACATCAAAGTGAACGTATTTTACGTTCTTATTTCTAAATCAAAGTGGAATAATGTAGCTTATGAATTACTCCGTCTCTGAAATGCTCATTTTGTGTTTATTTTTGTCATCATTCCATTATGACTGCAGCTGAGAACACCATTCACGTATTGTTGGCCAGTGACGCAACGGAGCGTAGTTACGACGATCAGTTTTTGTCTTGGTGCAACAGGCGTAAGCAGGGAGAGTAAACGGACGCCAGGCGTTGCGGTTTACGACAGTCGTAGCCGAGTAAATTTACGCCCTGTTGGTGCAACCGGGCCCTGAAGTTGGTAGAGTGTGACTTACGAACCAATCAAATATTGCACAAAGGTATTTGTGAAGAAATAAAAAAAAAAAACAAATTTATTCTTTCTGTAAAATTGGAACTCCAATATGTGCTGCATGCTTCATTCTTTTGAAAATCCAACATAAAAGTTAAAGGTCCTGTTGATACCTTTACAGGTACAATGTCTACGACAACCAGCCCCGTGTCCGGAAGCAACTGCGTCCATGTTGACTCCATGTTCCTCACTGCGGCGATTTATGCCATATGGCAGAGCCTTTAGTCATCTTTGACTTTTTTCTCTTCGAAAATTAAGTGTTGACATATTACGTTTGTATATGTTGGCATACTATGTTAATGCCGATGGTGATTTTCACGTGATATACAGACTTACAAAACAAATGGCTTACTAGCGTTTTGAACATGTTTGAAAAGTATTACAATTGACTTGTAAATTTACGTTAAAGCTAACATATTTGTGACACGTGTTTTAAAGGAGTAATAATTCACATGAGGGCTTACAATATATATATAACCTATGTGTTTCATTCGCAAAGATAACTTACAAGCTAGCAAATACAAAACAAACCAATTTAGTTGTTTGTTTTCTTACGGACTCTTAATTCACAACAGATTTGTTTATATACTCTACGTTATTCTATTGAAATGACGTATTTAAATGAGCTGCAGACTTGTCATTTGATATGAAATATTTCATTTTAAAATGTATGTCATTAAATATAAACTTTCAAACTTTACAAACTTTCATCTCTTATGAGCTACTTGAATAAAAGAATTTGTAATCAAAGAAAAATATTCCACATCAATGTCTGCATATAAAATGTACGTACAAGGATGGGTTATATTAAAATACATAGAATTAAAGTATGTAACAACAACTTACTAAACTTCAGATAATCCAAAGATCACAAACTATTTCAAAAACCAATTTGTAAAACAAAGAATTAAAAAAAACATAATATAATAATGAACTCTTAGACATTTACTAATGTACATTTAGTGATTAAGTATTCAAAAACATTTTCGTAACCTTATCAATAAATTTTGATTGATTAATTCTTAAACAAGTATTAAATTAATGCACACTAAGTAATAAAAAGGGATAACAACTGTTCATTTTGACCAAAGATTTTCTTCGAGTAAACGACAATTTTCCCATACCTAACGATGGTTGACGAATCTTTTTCGAAAAAATTTGCCTTTTTGTAATTATATCTTATTATATCTGAAATTTCAAAAAGTAGCCATATATGGAGGTCATGTGGTCCATTGGCAAGCACAGTTTCCAGAATAATTGCGATTTCTACCGTTTTGGTATTAAAATAGAATTTATTGTATTTCTGAGTTTCTAACAATATATTTATCTATATTTTCTCATACGAAGAATCATTCTCCCTTTAGGAATTTAAAAACTAAAAATTGGTGGAAAGATCTCGATAAATTATATAATTAATCAACTGTTTTTACATGTATGAAACTATTCCACTATTCTTTATAAATTGTTTGCGCAATTCCCCGTAAACACTGCCTATACGTCCCCTGTTATACCTACGTGCAACTTAATTAAATGGTCACCCCCTTCACTTTACTTACTTGGACTCTGTAAAAATGACCCCCCCCCCCCCCCCCGCTATACGTTAAGCGTCGTTACAAATTTCAAATTAAGCAAAGATTTATGGAGCTAGTGCTTTCTCTCTATATATAGCCCGAGTGTCCTAGCTTCAACGATATATTTGTATCATATATTCTTTATGTTACGACGCAGTTACTAGCCTATATCCATGACTGTAACTTATTTGTGCAGGTGTATATCAATAAAGGAATCTGAATCTGAACCCTACGGTCCAGACAATGAGTGCCCCGCCCCGCCAGTTCTCCCAGCAGTCTCACCGTCCATACCACTTCCGGTTCCGGTTTGTCCTCTTCTCCTTTCCCCTCTTGCCTTTCTGAACTTCATATTATCACTTCCTTTAATTACTTTACTTGGACCTTCTTCAATCGCTCTCTCCTCGACCCACCTAACGGCGTGCACGGCGTTGCGCTTCAATCGTCGGCCCCTTTTCCAGAAGCAATTTAGGTTTCTTCGCATGGGTTTGGTGTGTCGATCCATAGATAAGCAATCTGAGATCACGACGCTGCCGACGAGGCACAGCAAAATCAACATACCCGTGATACCGTAAAATGGTCCTTGCGGTGACTCTTTGGGTGGTGTCGTTTTCCTTGAAGACTTCGGCATGGCAAATGCGTTCTTCACCTCGGAATGGTCTTTGAAAATAAAGAAAATGTAAAGACGTGTACTAATTGCTATAAAATTTGAATTAACTCGCTATGAGGTGCTCTGAATAAAAATTCATTTAAAAATAAATTGTTCTTAAATTCGAGATTGGACTTTTACCGTCTAATTTTACTCCATTATTCATCTCTAGGTAACCGTTTATACAAGTTTATACAAATGTGCCGGTACAGGGTATTATAGGCCTCTACTCGTTTTAATTACTAGCACACGATATATATATATATATATATATATATATATATATATCATTATCAATGTTTCCTCAAATACAATAAAATGGACACACATTAAAATAGCTTCATTGTAAATGTTACTCAACTGTAACATTCCATCAGCTCAGGCTCCCAGTGGCCGTGGCCATAACACGTGGCTACCCGCTGGCGCCCCCCTGAGGAAAACACTTTATCGTCTCTGCACCAGTACCGAATCTTGGTGCCATAGCTTGTACTATTGTAGGGTTCTACCTCCACGCTTGAAGAGTTCAGTAACTGATCACTTGGACAGATGACCACTGTAAATATAAATTAACATTTAAAATACTTTCGTAATCAACATACTTGTATTTGTTTAATGGACTTGAATTCTTGATTTAGGACACACATCTGTCGTCATAAATGATCCTTTAAATATGCCTTTCTTAATTCTATGTTGCTGAAATACTATGTTGATGAAACGTGTAATAATTACATTTACAAATATCCGGTCTCCACGTGCCGTTCTGGGAACATGTCAACGCCTTTGTTCTGGTTTTATCATTAAACCTGTAGCCGTCTTTGCACCGGGTCATCAGCGTGGTGTTTACACTGAACTTGTTCTTGTTTCCCATTGAATCGAAAGATTCTGTGTCCGCAAGGGGAGCTTCAGAAAAATTAACCTTGGATATGTTTAGAACGGACAGAGAGGCAACCGCAAATGGCAAGGCACAGCTGGCAACAGAGACGTTGGGCGTGAATTCTGTAAATGTTGGCGTGGTTTCAAGGGCGGTTGTCGTGGTTTCATAGTCGGAGGGCGTAGTTTGGTTGAAAGGAGGTGTATATCCGGAGAAGGGAGGTGTTGTCTCGCCGGCTGTTATGGTTTCGGTGACAAGCCGCGTGGTTTCGGTGTCTATAGGCGTGGTCTTCATAAATGGTGATGCATTCTCGGTGAGTGTGGGCGTGGTCTCCATGAGGTGTGACGCGTTCTCGGTGACTGTTGGCGTGGTCTCGGTGACTGTTGGCATGGTCTCCGTGAGGGGTGACGCATTCTCGATGACTGCGGGCGTGGTTTCAGTGACTGCAGGCGTGGTATCAGTGAATCTTGACGCATTCTCGGTGACTGTGGGCGTGGTTTCAGTGACTGTAGGCATGGTCTCCGTGAGGGGTGACGCATTCTTGGTGGCTGTGGGCGTGGTTTCGGTGACTGTAGGC